TTCAATATAATTACAGGACTTGTAAGCAAGAAGATGTCCCCTTAGTCTTCGGGAATGGCAATGCCTGAAGAGATGAATGGCTTTGCGTGACGACTCGATGTGCGTGTTCATGTCTATAAGCGACGGCTGCCACTTCCCATCAGGAAAGTACATAAAATCAGACAGCGTGTTTCTTTGTCATTCCAGTTAAATAAAAAAAATAAGTATTATGTTTTATACCTTGCGCTGACGTCGGTTAAAAAGCAAAAACAGTTATTATTTACACACCTTTTTGCAGACTTTTATATCAGTAGACTTGAACACGGTGTATGTAATTAATTCGCCGATTACGTAGTAACTGTAATAATTATATCTGTGATATGACGTACTTGTTAAATCACGTGTACATCGCGCCACAATATGACTAGTTTTTGGAAGTGTAATTGTTAATGTTGTTGAAAACCTCAATCTATATAAATAAATAAATAATTTAAGTGTCTGTTTGTAAATTCAAATTTACAGAGATTCATTAAATGTATATGTGAAAGCATATATGGTACTTAAATATAAAAAAAAATAATTTAAAAAATTCTTAGGAATTTTTCGGATTAATACCAGCTGCTGAATTTTACCATCGTCCCATCCACCAGAAAAAGAAATGTCATCCTGATCATCTGGATGCACGGCGTTCTCCACAGTGCGTTTTTCTAGAAACTTTTTGCCAAGCACAACTACATTGTGGAATCTCCTTCCAGCAATGGCATTTCCGAATCGATACGACATTGAAACCTTCAAGAAAAGAGCTTATTCCTTCTTAAAAAGCCGGTAACGTACTTGCGATTCCTTGGTGTTACGGATGCTCATGGGCTGGCATTTGTCTGTCTGTTTATTCTTGCTTGCTTGTCTCTGAAACGGTTGCACCGATTTTGTTGGGTCTTTCACTCACAGATACCTAATGTTCAAAGAAGTAACATAATCTACTTATATTTTAGAAATTTTATTTATTTCTCGCTGGTAACAGCTAGTTTCTTATAATATTGGAATGACAATTAGCATACGTCCCAGCTGATGGTAACTGTCAAACGTCGCCTATATACACATGTAAACAAATAGCACAACATACATGCAATGTCATTTCGGAGGTCTGAGGTGTCGTACCTCCGAACGTTGTAATCTCTCATATCTCTCTTCAGCCTAAACACAAGAAACACAGTAAACCGCTTCGCTACTAAACTTTAAGAGCCAGAGCAAGACGACTTTGTACAAAGCCTAAGCCGTCGGTAATAACAATTATAAAATTATATTTTATTCAGATACGTGTTATTTTGCGAAAGCCCAAATCACTACAATATTGTAGCGGAATTAAACAAAATAATATAAATCTATTAAGTAGTAATTATAAAATATTTTTTAATTGTTCTGTAAGTAAAAATTTTTTTCACCTTTCCAAGATATATTGATAACATACCTACATAAGTTACATATAATAATTCAAAATATATCTACAAGAGATTACAATAAAAATGTGTAGATAGATACTAGGCGCCTCTGATGTCAGTAATCATGTTTTATAGCCACATGAAAGTTTCCGCCACTAGATAGATATACGTTGTATCTATTGTATAAAACATTATATTTAGGGTGAGTGAGTTACTCTATATTTAATATAAAAATGTATAAGTATTATATCTATTTATTCTAAAAATATTTTACTTTTAGATATTAAAAAATTTCTTCTTTATTTTCGCCATATGTCGGCATTATAGACTAAAAAAAGTTACTCTGGGACTAGATGGGCCCGTGTCAAATGTACAGGGTTATTAAAAAAAAATATATATATATAAAAAAGTAACTCGTTTTGTAAGCTTGTTTCGCGCGCTGTACTAATTTTCCTATTGATATTGTTGGTATTCTTCGTATTATTTAAGTTATATGGCATCGAGTTATATTATCACTAGCAATATACATGATACGTCCGCGAAATTTCAACTGTGTACTTAACAATTTGTCAGTTTGTACATCCAATTAACAAAGAATTCTAAGAAGGTATTAGACGAGTTTATACAATTTACTAACTCCGTACTCATGAGTTGCTAAATCCGATCCTGATTATGTTATCAGAATCGGATTTGTTATGTATGTATATACTATACATCAGCTTTTAAGCGGATCTATTAACTACATTATATGATAATACTCTACAATACATAATATATAGTTACTTACATTATTGTTTGGTAACATGGCCGACACTCGGCATATCGGCCTCAGCCTGAGTGGCATTGCGGCTTCCTTAGTCTAGCATAGCATATTGCTTTACTTCCAATGGTCGCGGGTTCGATTCCTTGCACGGTTCAAACAGTTGATTTAAACGTATCTGTCAGTTGTCTAGTACTCGTAACACAAGCTTAGCTTAGGACTAGATGGCGTTGTGTGAATCGCCCAGCGATACAATTATCATAAGAGTCTATAATAGACCTACATGAATAAGGATATTTTGAATTTGAATTATACTTATGCCGTGACAGGTTAGTGTCACAGCGCTCATATTCCGTGTAGGCAATTAGCAACTATAAGATAATATTACATACTATTAGTGACCCTTTCGTTGTAATTGTAGTGCATAATGTATGTACATAGATATAAATGTAGATACTTACTTGTATATATAGTGTAGAAGAAACTTATCTATTGAAACAGTGTTCAGCATTAATGGATATCCCTACTATGACCGAGTTTCTGACCGCAACTTCCCACTCGTTGAGTCCGGAACTTGACCATCAATTGCAATTTAATATAAAATTACTTAAGCTAGTCCTCTTAAAACACGACATATTGCTTCGATGTTCTTTTTAAAACGACATATATCGCAATACTTGGTGTAACACATATAACAATAACATATGATCTATACCTATATCCTTATAAAAACATTATAAGTATATCTTCTAATATTTTTTGTTCCTGAACACATCTATGAAAAGTTCTTTTGAGATAATCTCTCAGGAATATGCTGTTTGATATTTTCATAGATTTTGTTTAGTGTAGTGATTCTAATTTAATTTTTAAGTGTTTTTTAATTATTTTTAGTGATTTTTTTGTATAATTTTATTGTCTATATAATTATAGTACAGTATCCACAGAAAATAAATAACTATGTAGAAAAAAAATTCAATAAAAAGGTTACGCTTTGTTGTATTTTCTCTTTTCTGAATTCTTGTGATATTCCTTCTTGCATTACAATAGATGAATACGTATAATTTCTCAACCTTGGACCATTCCATAACATTTATTTCCATAAAGCTGACGTTTGAATTAACTATTTTAAAGAGAAAAATGTTATAATTTCATTGAATAGAATGTACTTTGGATTTTATTGGAAGTTAAATATTGTTATTATTTCTTTTAACATACCTACATATATTGTTCATAGTTCTTTCTAACTAATGTTTGTTTTTGTCACTCCCACATTGTAATCATCACGCTACTCGTCGTAGTCAGAAAATGTTTGCCACAAATTGGATAGAAAATCTAATGATCATTTACAGTGTAGTTTCAAATGATCGTCCTCTAGCAAACGTTACAGGTTAGGTACAGGTACAATAGAACCATACTAAAGCTTTCCTAAACGAAAGTGGATGTGGTTCTTCATATATCTCTGATGTCAATTTTTACAGCATTCGATAACTGTTTATTATTAGACGAAGTGTATACTTATTCGCTACTTCGCTATTATTATACAAAAAATATATTATTCTTTTTTGTATAATAATAGCGAGGTTAAATTGTACACAACGTTATATTAATCTTGACAATTTATCTTATTTCGTAGGCACGTAATTTAAAGCGTAACGTACGAGGTTACTTACTTAAACATGTACATGTCTCTTAGAAATATGTCACATCAACAGTGATGTGTTGTATTAATATATTTAGCATCATCCTATCTTTATGTCAAGAACGTAGTAAACGAGAGAAATGGATTTTTAACATACTATATCTAACTAGATTACGGAAAACTCGAAACTAAATACTAAAATAATTATTTTGTGTATTAACCATATTTTATTCCATAATAACTACTAGTACTGTTATAATTAATTTCAAATGTATAATAGGATTTATACTTAGGACTTACTTAGTATTTGTTAACCTGCCAATATGTCTTACTGTATCTTAAACAAGAAGTCGATACATTTTATAATAATGAACACTGTTTATGAGTCGCTGTATTAAAACTTACGACTATTATCAATCAGGTGACGTAGAACCAAGAGCAAACTGTTATTAAGTAAAATATATTTACATACCTATCGATACATATTATAATATAAAGTCGCGATAATCTTAAACTACCGAACACCTATCTATGTTTTTTAGGTTTTGTGTCAAATAATTTAAAAAGCCTGCGAAACCATGGCTGGTCCCTAGTGATATATAAAATAACCTTAACACAATAAATATACTGTTGTACTCGTAAGTACGACTACAATAAACTTATATTTCGTTGAATAAATACAACAATTTCCTAGAACATATCATGACGATTAATCAAGAAATCCAAGTTTATTACTTGTAAGTCTAATTTAAGTGGGAACTGTAGCGTCCTTACTCTAAGACCCTGAGTTCAACCTCCATGACCCTTGTCCGGGTCTCTAGATAAGGACAATACTTAATAGGAGGGGACGCGCCCAATCTTAAGCCTAATTGGGTACTGTTAAGATGCGGTAAGAGAAGATTGAATAAACTTTGGGGGCATGGACATTTACAGTACTTTCGCTGAAATAATAGTTGATTAAATTGCTTTTGCGGTTATAAGAATGTTATAACGATGTCGTGAGATGTTTATCGCAACAGTAGGGTCTGTTGCTATTAGTACAGTAGTAATTGTAACTTCGTATATGCATTTTTACTTTACTAATTGATTTGCAGTCGTAAAATTTCAAAATATATTACTCTCTGTTACATGTGTTCCAATTGTGAAAACTATTTTTTTAAATAGGTACTTGTCTTTTTTACAGATTGAGTGAAGAATGGCTACCTTGTGAGAAAAGGCGGAAAAGGTTTGCGGTGCAGACTAATATCTACTCTACAAGATGACGAAGAAATTTGAATTCAACTGGCAAATTCCCGTTCCAGAACCATTGTTGCAGGTACGTCTAGTTTCTTTATACTTTGTAATAAATTTATATCTTTCATTAAAGCTATTTTAAAATTCGGTAAGGTTTTAAATATAAAAATATATATTTTTTATACAAATTAAGTTAATTAAATACAGATTCAAACTTCCGTGTTATTTCAGTATTAATATGTGGGATAATCAGTTATTATATAAACACAGATAGACTGAGAAAGCATAACTAGCTTTCCAATTTAATCATAGAATAATTTAGATTAAATTATATTTTAAACGATCCCACGTTCTATCTTCATTGATGTATCTCTTGAAAACATTCTTGCCGTTAGGATTCGATTATATTCTAGAAATGCAAATTGCTCCTTCTTAATTGCTTCGGCTTATGAGATTCTAGGCTGCTGTGATGGCGGAAATATAATTTTACGGAACGGTGCCCTAATCTTTTCACTCCAGTCTATAAATGCTAATATCTGAAAATGACAGCCCGTTTATTGTTTTAAGTGCTGAATTAATATTGATGAGTCGATATACTGAGGAAGTTACAAGGTTGTTTATATACAAGTGCTCATATTATGTACTGTATCGGTTATCAGTATATTACCGGCGATATGAGACAGATATCTCTATTTATTGTGAATTAATTAATAGATTACATTTTTTTAAATTATTCTTGAGTTTACAGTACAAGCAACAAATTAAATATTTCCACTTTGTAATATTCTTTATAGTCTTCTACAAAATTGTATATAAATCTTGTAACCAAAAGAAATAGTGAAAGAAAATAATGGGCACACCAATAACATTTTTTTATATACAAGTAAATTCATTCTATAGTCAGTAAATGTATCATAATTAAACTGTATATGTACATGTTAGTAAATACTTTGAATAGTAAATTAGTTCTACAATTAGTAAATTACCATAGTTCTAGTGAATATACTAAAATCCCACGGGCGCATGTTCGATTCACACATAACAAGCTGTATTTATTTATATACATAACGAGCGGCTCATTCATTAAACTTAAAAATGGCTATATCAATGTCTAGGAAATTGTTTTAGAAGTACGTCGTAAATCAAAGTGGAATGTAAATGTTTACGAAAGCACCATTTTACGCCCGCCCAGAAGGGCGTGCCACGCGGGCCCCACTGTTAGCGAGCTTACGGCACCAGCATCATATCTTCTTTCAAACTGTTAATACAATGCAACAAAGAGGGGTTTTTATGAATGATAATGAATGGTGCATCCATCTGCGCTAACGCGGCATGTCACTAGTAGAGGATAAAGAAGTATTTTTCTTCATCAAGTAGATTGCATCTAAATAGTAAAATGTTGTCTAAATATCATTTCAATCCATTTTGCTGTTTTGTTCATATTGCTTTTCATCTTAGAAACAGTTTCTTATTTCTATACACATATTTTCCCATTAGATATTAAAATATCTTGGTCATATCTTTACGTGCTCGCGGATATTTAGTCAAAGCGGAACATGGAAAGATGGGACGCTGCACACGAGTAAACACACCAGTGTTGCCTTAAAGCTCTCCTTTGGATTTCACTTGTTTTTAATGACTTGTTACTACTTGTCTCTTCTGATTGAGTGATAAATTAGTCCCCATTTACCTATTTCCCATCGAGAAAGCTAACACCTATTTTATAGGAATACATTGTTCTGTATCTATACACACTGCAATGATGGGAGATTTAGTATTATGTTTCATACTATTTATATTTGTAATAATAATTAAATTATAAAAAGGAGAATAATATTCAAATATATAATTAAATATAACAGACTAACGATCTTCATATTTAAAATATTACTAAAGTAAATTGAAACGTTAAAATAACGATTAGGAGCTCAGTAATTTATATTCTGTTCAAATAAACTCGCAGGTATAGCAACTAAATTAAGAACAGGTCCTAAATTTTAACCACCACTTTAGGGAATGAGAATATTGACCGCTGACCGCGTTACCCTTCTGAATAGCTCTATCCTAATTTTAATGTACACAGAATCCTGACCGTTTTATTTTTAAAATATGTTTTATAAAAAAACACAGCTCTGTTCCTCAAATGTACCTAATACCAAGTTACGCAATTTATTTGTGCACGTAATTTTTTTATATCTCTTCCTACCTTTCAGTTCGGTTAGCTTCTTCAGGAAAACTACTGTCAAGGATCTCGTCTGGTACATTTTTTAATCATTCAATCTATAAATACACCAAGATTTTTGCAACAATTTGCATTTTTCTATTAGATAGTCTGTTGGCTGATAGCCAGTGAAGACAACTATCGATCAAAGACATCAGAGCACCGCGTGACAACCACACTGTTCATTTTTTTATCTATTGAAAAGCTAATGTCCCACTGAACACGCTCCAATATCAACAACATATCTGACTGATGAAGGGAGGGAATTATTAGTAATAGGTACCATTAGGTCCATTGCTGACAATTTTGAACATTGATTACCGAAAATTTAAAAAGTATTCTAATTGCTATGGACATTGTGGGATGGGTTAACTAACATAACTTCTTGCTCATACTAACATTCTTCACTGGTGCTCCGCCAGCGTATACTATTAGGGCAGATGGCATTACGGGTACTATGTCATAATGATCCTACAAAAAACCGTCTCAGTTCGTATCTATGCACTTTTTAAAATTGCTCCCCAACGGAAATCCTCCGTATCTCGTAGCCAGGCTGTATTTCCTGGTTTTAGAGTTGAAGAGATCATATATCTTTAGTAGTATTTTCATGAAAAGACTATATTTTGTAATTAAAACTGTGGTCTTTAGAGCTTTGCAGCCGTATTTATTGATTTCGTTTTTATTTTTTATTTGAAACAACATAATAAAATGATTAATGTATAAATTAAGGGAAGCTGTCCATCACATACTAGTGCTACTAGTTCTAATGAGCTACAAAAGCAATAAATATCACTGGGCCACATTAAACTATAAACATAGGAGATACCCCTAGGCAATGTAGATATCGAACCTCCCTAACATTATGTAGGTAGGATTCTGTTTGAGTTCTATGAAAAGCAACCTAAATCTTTAAATTAAAATTAAAATACATAATGTATTTTTTAAGCTTATATATTAATAAAATCTTTTCTTTTTTACAATATTTATATACCCCAAAAAACTAAGAGTACATTGGGTTTGCAGGTTGTTCAAATCGAAACATGAATACTGCATCAACAGAAATGTAGCACACTGAGGTCTGCAAAACGCTACTCTCCTAATAAATGATCCTAAAGCCAAGTAAATATTCATTGGATTGATGTTTCTAAACTCGACAGCCGACACTCAATCCAACAACTATACAGTATTTATAAACCGTCTATAAAAGATAGTGGTTTTTTATAGATCCCTTCTGACTTCATAAAATTGAAAAAGAAGCGAGATATTGCTACGACCTTGGTCATACATCAAACGTTCGGGAGCCGATTTAGTGTAAGCGTATAGGTGAGCTACATTTATTTCATATCTAGGTATAGGTGTGAGAATCTGAGTGATATAGTAGCAGTTAAATTGTAATAGGTACGTTCTGAACAGTACAGACACCTCAACGAGAGGCAAGTTTAATCACTCCTCTCAATCCTTATGTTGTCTGAACGAGATGGTAGAGAGGGAAATAGATGGGTGGCCGCCCATTGTTACTTCGCTATCTTTAGTATATACATACCTACATGTGTTTTTTCTTTATTATACATTTTTGGCGACCGATTGCTTTAACTTTCTATTACTATCATTTCGGAAGTTCGAAGTATGAACACTTCTTTTTAATAATGTCTTTTTTTATATAATTTGTTGTTTTACCGTCGTTTACTTTCAAACTTTTCAACTTGTCGTTTAATGTACAAAACTAATAAATACAGTATTATATTAATAAACTTTGGGTCAACAACGATAAAAAACGTTCTCTTTTAAGTAACTGTGTTTTCTGTGAGACGAGAATGAAAATGGAATACCTAAAGAGTTTTTATTTTATTTAATTTGCATTGCACAAGTTGCAGTTCAGGTTACTGAATTGAGCACAGTTTCAGTCCGGGTTCAGAATTCCACAAAGTAACGTGTCAACCAATAAAGGCGAATATACCTATATTTATTTTATCTTTTTCAAAAGCAAAATCCCAACCTCATTCTAACAGTAAACAAGGAATTTACTCTATCCAATATTAAAATGTAAATAAATAAGAGTTACGTCTTCGCATTTATAAAGAAATAAAATATTATGATTGATAAAAAAATATTACACGTAGGTACCGCAATATCAGAAATATTGATGAGTAGATTACCAGTGACGTATCGATTAATACGACAAATTATAAATTATTTGGTAACTAACATACTTCGTACTGAAACTTATAACTTTATATATATTAATATATAACTTATTTTATTATAGGGAGCTGTGTTTGACAGATGGACTGAAGAGAAAGATAACACCGAATTGGAGCAGAATTGTTTGTTCAAAGTAGACGAGTATGGATTTTTCATCTACTGGAAAAGCGAAGGCCGGGTAAGTGACTGTAACATTTATTTATATTATTACTAAAATATTTGAATGGAATGACAAAATTTATTTCATTTTGGACATCATGTTTGTTGAGTGACCTAGTGACCAATCTGTTTCTTTACTTAGCTCAGCTAAAATAGTCTAGGACAATGGAGCAAAGTGAAAGGAAGTCAATTTTATTTTGCGTAAAAACATAGGTGACGAATGAGAAGTATGTATAATGGCCCATTTTGCCTAATTAGGCAAGCTAAATAGTATTTTTCATTATTTTGTGGCATCTTGAAAAATAAATATATCTTTATGATTTTAAAAAGATGTTTTACACATTACGGGATTATTTTGGTAGCTGTTACTATTGTATATTGTATTAACATATTTTTACAATTGTTTATTTTGTAACCGTTTGTAGTATGCGCCAAATAAATGTTTTTCTTTCTGCTTCTCTGAAACAAACAACTGTGAAAAAATTTAAAACAGTAAACTTATACACTTTCGATCGTCTTCGATACATTTTCACAAAGTTATCTTAAAATTATTTTGTTACATTTTTGGTATGCTTCCGAATGGTCGATTATTGCATAGTTTTATGATAAATGTAATAAAGACACTGAATAGCAGTTTCGTCAGTAGAACAAAATTATAATAGTTATTTCCGGTTTATAATTAAGTAATTGACAATGTCAAACAGTCAGTCAAATCGAAGTCGATTTAATCAAATTCGTATTTTTATCGCTTATGATATTCTTCACTAATTATTTATTATGCTGTACTAATAATTATTATGAAAGACATATATGTAGTACAACAACACTTTTACACAGAAAAAGTGTTGTTGTATTACATTTATGATTATTAATGATTAATTATTTCGCGGAATAAATAGTTATTCTTGGACGTAGTCGATAGTATTGGCTAGAAATATATATCAGAATTATTTTTATTTTTTTACCTAAATAAGGTTACTACAATACGTGAAGATAGTAGATACTAGGTATCTATAAAAAAGACATAAAAAATTTTAGGCTCGCTATGAAAATATTAGATACAAAATTCGAGGTTTATGCTCTACACAGAAATTTCATTAACCCTAATGAATATTTCTCATAACTTTAAAGGATACCTACCTACCACACTAGCTACAGTCCCCGTATATAAAATATTCCAGAAGATCAAACATTTTCTACTTTGTATTAAAGTCTGTGAATTCAGAATTCACATTTCGTTCACATAGTTCTCTTTTATCTTTCCATTTCTTTGGGTAAGTAGGTAACAAATGCGGGCTTAATTAAATTATTTATGCTGCAGTATATATTTCAGTACAATTCTGAAATATTCGTGTGTAATATAAAAAAATACAGGATAAAGAGAGCGTCGAGAACCATATACTAATATGGTTTAGTACTATAAAGTGTACTACTTAAGAAGAAACTATGCCTTGACCCCAAATGTGTGAGTTCATATTTGGGTGATACGACGCGTCTTTGTCTACATTTGATAATACCTCTGACTACCATGACTAACATCTGGGATACCGGTCGAGAAGATATTAAGTACCTGAAATAGATATTTAAATATAAACATAAACATTTCTCGTCCAATATTCAGGAGTACAAGTGCTGTTTAATGCAATTTCCATTTAGAGGTACATACACTGCATTAAAAGTCTATAGCCTGTTTTATTTCCCAGGGGTTATTAGCATAGTTATGCAAGTTGAGTTTACGTTAATACGTGTATATTATTTAACTTTGGGGTATATTAAATGAAAATAGGTATTAAACCACATATATGTTTTCGTATGATTGTACTTCATTAATCCTAAACTGATTTTGATGGTTGTTTGGTTTTTTTTTTAAAATAGTAGTTTTAGGAAGATTTTGTAAACCTGTGTTTACCGACTTCAAATGCAAAGGATACTAGACTGTGCTTCGATTACAGGGTGAGAAAAGGCAGTGTCACAGGAAAAGAGGCATGACATCTTTGCCCTTCAGAGTGGCAATACATGAGTGGTTAGTATCACGGACGACACATAATAACGTGATATCCGCTCATGTACATACAATTGTACATAAGGAAGCCCGTTAGCTTCTTTGCCATTTTTTCTTTTTACAATATTTTATAGTATATGTCATACTATAAAATATTGTAAAAAGATAAAATACAAAAAAAGAAACGTTAGGAATAAAGCCTAATTCATCTCGTATTACAGCATTATAATAGTAGCCTAGTTCTATAATAATAAAATGCGACGTACCTAGGTGTATGTATACAATATTTAGAATACCTCAAGAAAAGATGTTGAGTCACTGCCTCGGCTATAATGTAATAACATAAGTGCACTAAAAATAGCGCCAGTGCAACTTACCAGTAATGAGTCAGTCAGTCAGTCAGGTGTTTCAGTTCCCGCCACGATAAAGATACAAAATGGCCCGTTAAAGCTAATTTTATTCACACAATCAGGCCATTTGTACGAGTGTGTATGTCTGTTAAATGCAATAATACTTTGTGTGGTGGCGATGAACTCGATCAGTGTGATTGGATTCATTCAAATCATTTGCTTACTATACTGACGAATATTATAAATGTCGAAGTATATCTTTTGTTATACTTATCATAGTTTTTAACAATTATTATGATTTTTTATATAGTTAAATATATAAAATCATGTGACTAAATAAACTAAATGTGGCCTCATTTGAAACAAACAGAGATAGACAAGCAAACTTTCGCATTTTTAATATTGGTATCGATTGGTGTGCGCGACGCACCTTTTACATTTTTGATTTATTTGTTTTTGGTTGTCATTCTACGTTATATTGTCTGTACCTACTGAAGCGACCAAAATTTCTTGGCAAACAGTACATTAACGGTTATGGTTATCATCAGGAGGGTCATCATGTTTTTCATCACCGTTATCATACTGTTCCCGTTACTTATATTGATATCAAAAAAAGAAAAAAAGCAATCTCACAACTACAAATAACAGCAATATGAGAATCAAGTGACATAAAAAGTACAATTAAATCAAAAACCTTCACATATCTGATGTCGGTTGAAAATCCGGCACATAAATGACAGGATTGAAATTAAATTACGTTGGCCTATCGTGCTTCACTGGGTTTAATATGATATATCATTTATTGGCTCTGAATCTGCGGTGACTATAATATTATCTGTGTTGATGACGTTGTGATATATGAAGAACTAGTGAATAATCTTAGAGCCCACGCACTCAGAGAGCGGTCAGGAGTTCCGAGTTCCGAGTTCGGCGTTTATTAGAATGTACCGAGTCTATAACAACAACGCACACAGCGGGCAGTCTGACCGCGGCGATCAAAGCGGAACTTCGCGTTCCAAGAGTTCTTTTCCCACTAAGACAGGGAACGCCGGAACGCCGCGATGTCTGAGTTTGGAAACACGAAAAAGTTGATTGGATTGGTTAGGGAAAGGAGTTTATTATACGATTTAAGTAATATGTAAGTAATGTTCTTTTCGCGTTGTGTTAATTGAGAGCACCTTTTCTTTTTGAAGCTGCTAAGCTCCACAAGAGCATTTATTCTTCATCGGATAACGAACTTTCTAGTGACATGTTGCATATGCAAAGACCCAAATGAAACTAGAACGCGAGAATTTGCACGCCGCTTGTGTGCGTTGGAACTCTTGGGTGGTCAACGGACACTAAAACGCAGAACTCTGACCGCTCTCTGCGTGCGTGGGCTCTTAATATTACCTTTGCGTATCTGACAAAGGGCGTATCTTTGCGCGAATTCTCTTCTTCTCCTGTAGTTCTTTTCATTCGACAATATTACCAAATTCGTCCAGTAATAGCAGTGTCTTATCTCCCGTATAAAATAGGACCAGACATTTAAATACTAATAATGATGGATGATAATAGTACAATTCTCATAAGGCCATCTAGTCCCAAGCTAAGCAAAACTTGTCTTATGTGTACTAGACTTACTTGACTTGACTAAATTGTCAGATGTGCGGCATTACGCATGCCGTGGCAACCAGTAATTAAGTCAACACTATATACCTAACTCTTTGCAAGTTATAATAATCGTAACCTCATGGTGTATGTCTTGTTGGTTGCTCAAATAAATAAATAAACATAGATATACGTATACATTTATAGGCACTATTTATTAACGATATTCAAACAACAAAAATAAATAAAACATTTATACGGGATAAGGTGGTATTATTATTATTTAATAATTTAATTAACAATAGTAGATGTGCTAATTAATAATAATTTGTTTTTCCAATAAATAATATTTTTCTCCTATTTCTTTCGCCCATGTGTTGACCAATATATAACAATATGTTCTGTTAAAATTATAATTTAATTCCTCCAGCCGTTTTAACGTAAAACCTTATCACACAAACATAAACAGACAGTTTACGACGATTTTATTATATGTAAAAATAAAGAAAATGATAAAAGGGCAAAATCTATTCGTAAATATGATTCAATCGTAAACGTACCCTTGAGGCGGCATCAGTCGAAATAGCCATTAGGATTCGATTAGGGTCAGATAGGAAGATAAATGGGGAGAATTCTATATATCAAGTTAAAGTAAGGCAGAACTTAAATACGTTGGGAGGCTTATTTTAAAGGAACTAAACTTTAATAGGTCATAAACTTGAATGTATCTATAAAAATAAATGAAATTGAAGTGTCTGTTTTCAAATTAACAGCTTGTCACTAAATGCATATGGAAGTATAAACGGTACTTAAAAGACACCAAAAACGTCATCCGTTTGTTCCTCCTAATCTCTAAAATGACTAGACCGATTTTAAAGAGACTTTCACTGGTAAATAGCTAATATTCACGTTAACGTAGTCTACTTTTATTTTACAAGAAAATAATGGAAAATTCTAAAATAGTTTTTATTTTTATAAAATCCAAATCAAAAAAATACATAATATTCAATCTATAATAGTTCCATTTCGTTTTAGTAATATTGTAATTTTATCTTATCTCTAGTAATATTATGTTAT